CATTTCTTTCTGTTCTGCACCCCACTGCCTCCAAAGGCTGGTCACCTGTGTCAGTGCTCAGGGACAGCTCTGCATGTGCTACGCTCCGGAGCCAGCTGCCAATGGCTGTACCTGGGCTCTCTGAAGGGAGGAGCAGCATTTGGTCACTGGGCAGTACCTGGCAGTGACCTCCTCTGGCTGCTGGTAAGACAGGTCAGGGTTTGTTTCAGACTTAATTTTTCCTGACAAAGTTGATAGGCTTCTCAGTTCTCATTTTATGTTCATTCCTAAAATTTTATTGTAATAGAAGGGACTGCCAGGTTATCCAGTTCTTCCTACTGGCTGTGGCATTTCAGTTACCACAGTGACTACAAGGAGGTAGGTTGGGCCAAAACATTGGGCTGGCAATGAAAGACAGGTGATGTTTACTATTTGTCCCATAATATTCTCCTCTTCCTCTGATTAATTACCATTGTTGTTTAAAAAAACACAAACAGCCTTATATATTAAATCTTTGCTCTGTGTCTTGTCTAACACCACCAAGCTGGCTCAAATGTCTGCATCACTCATCTCAGCAAGATTAAGAATCTTAATTAAGGTTCTTCCTCAGCTCACGGCCACTTGAAGAAGATAGCAGACCACAACTCTGGCATCCTGAAAGGACAAAACAGAGTATAAACTCTTACGAGATCAAGGAATATCCCTTCCTGTTTTAACAGAAAGTGCTCTTTCACAAACACTTTGCCTGACTGCATCTGAAGCCAGGCCTGAAGCCATTTTCCAGCCTGTGTGTTCCTGGAGTTAACCTCATCAGGAAACATACTACCCTGCTTAACTGTTTCATGTGCTATCAATTAGGGATTGTCATGCATAAAACATTCGAGGAAAAAAAAAAAAAAGGCGACAAAGTTTCAGGCCCACAAGACTCAAAGGTGATTTAATTCTCTATGCTTGATATCAGGTTATAACTTTTCTGGTAAAAGGATCAGAGGTCTAACTTACCTTAGACCAATGTGACAATAATTTTTCATCTCAGAAGCATTCAGCCTCTGAGATGTAAAGAAACCTTTTCTATTCAACATCTAACATAAGTCATCCTCAGAATCCTGAAGTAGGGAGAGAAGCCAACAGTTGTGGAGTACTCAGACTTGACACTACTCCAAGGAATCCGATAAGGTCAGGTCCTCCAGGAACCGGCAAGAGCAGGACTCTGTTCTTGGCCTGAAATTGTACTTGGTTCTGGGGAGCTCCTGGTCACAAGGAGGGACCAGATTTTGGTCATCTGGAGATACTTAACACAGTGAGCTGTTTAACAAGTTATAGGCATGTCCTCCTGTTGGGCAGGCATTTTGGACCATTTTGAACCATAGTCTCAGACCTGGATGTATCAGTTCTTTCAAAGAATTTCAGGAAGTAACTATTAGGATCTGAAGTTGTTTTGCATCTTGTTTAGGGTCTACAATAAAGAAAGAAAGCTGAAAGTGCCCCAGAGTCATACAGAGAGTATGTTATAAAGATCAATGCATGTATTAGAAGCAAAATTTTGAATTACCAAAAATAGCAAAAGCTCTGCTCGTGAAATTAATAAAAACTCACACCAAAAATATACTTCTATTTCCCCTAAAATACAAAACACATAGATAAAGCTGTGGTGAAAATTGAGAAAAAGCATCTAAATTCAAAGTATGTTCTTGCCTATAAGCAAAAGCAAACCCACCCTATATGCTGATAGGATGTCCAGCAATCCACCTGAACATATAGACTAGATGAGAGGATTTGGAGAAATAGTAAGTGGAGTGTTACACTGGGTATATGCAAGTGCAAACCTTAAGATCCCTTGAGATTCCAAGAAGTTCACTTCTGAGCAGAAAGTGTGAAGTCTAAATCCTATGAAAAATTGACAGGAGAAAGGACAGAGTTAGGAAAGATAAATGAACGCATGGTGGACATGCACTGGGTAATCACCCTACTGATTAAATGAAGAAAACACGACTTGGTGCCATCTTGTCACTGTGCTAATGAACATCAGGTTTTCAATACCCTCACTGTGACCTGGCTTCATACCCTCTCTTGCCTTTTTGTGGAAAACCATCCCTTCTCCCATTAACCCAGGCAGATTATTTTGATCTTGGCCTTCTCCAATGGATGTTTCCTTCAAAAGAGGAGATGGCAATCACTTAGCAAGTGATGACCACACAATCAGGACTGTCATCATTAGTTTGCACAAGTGAGACAGCTCCTCTCACTGAGACTCTGTTCAGGTCTGAGCTTTTCCAGACCCATCTTTGTTGTTGTCTAAATGGGAATTAATGATATTCAAGATGGCTGCTTTTTGTTCCAGCATAACAAGTGCTCTTCTTGCATTTTAATGATTAATTTTTCCTGAAAGTGTCAAACTCAATGTGACCCCCTGCCAGCCATCCAGCAAGACAGAGCCCAGGTATTTCTATGGCAGTCTTGGGACTCCATCTCAAAATCTGACTCATTAACAGGCTAGCAGTGCCTGGACATAGCAACTAGAGGGAAAGAGCTGGAACAATAATCTGAGGCAAATAATTCATGGATCTTGTCAAATGGATTTCACAGAGAGCCACTGCAGCCCTAAAGCTCTTTGTCATGAGGCCATTGGAGCCATGAGCAGTAAGGTCAGGCAAGCAGAGGCAAGCAGGACCAGCTCTCCCCAAGGAGCAAGCTGCTACCAGACAAATTTAGACGAAATGGTCTGCTCACCTTTGGACATTGCAGTACCAGCACAGTTTAAGCATGGCCATTGACCTGAGACTATGGAGAGTGCCACAGAAGAAGGAAGTAAGACCAGAATTTGAGAGTGAGGGAGAGAGAAATGAACTAAATAGGAGCAAGAATTGAAGACAGAGGTAGTGAGCTCCTTAAAATAGCTGTGCTTGCCTTTGATGTAAAATACAAAATCTTGGAAATAAAACGAGATAGAGAAAAAACAGATGGTGTGAGGAGGGATTCAAAAGTGAGGTGATGCACCAGAACTAGATGTGAAGAAATAAATTATGCAGAAATGGACTTAGCACAAAAGGCAGAAGATAATCATAACATTTTTTTAGAAAAGCCCTTTGCTTATTGTAAGCTACAGCGTCAGCAAAATACAAGAGCACTTGACTTATTTCTTCTTCTTGTAGACTTCCTGTCTACAAGAAGATACTTGTTTTGAAATTAAACTAGACTAAATGTGTTTCTGTGTGAAGAGTTTGCAGTTCTTGGCATGTTAAACATTACTTTAAAAAACTTTCACACCCAAGAGTTACACTCATTTGCTTATCATTATAGCACATTAAAAAAAAAAAGTTATACCATAGCTTATTTGATCAAAACAGGAAGGGTTCTAAGCCTTCATTCTTATCTTTTCATTGATCACTATAAAATGGATGTTTCCTTCTTCAGTTCAGAACATGACTTTCTTATCTCTTAGGTTAAAGCTCTAAATCAAAACAACTCCAGGTCCTATCAACTACATGCTTTGGGGAGTTATGAATTTTTTAGTTTGGCCTTTTCATATGCCCCAGTTCCTACAGAGGTGGTGAGTCACAGGTCCAGAATTTGGAGTCTGGAGTTGGAGATGAGCTTCCCAGCTTGGATCCACCTAAAATTCTTTTTTTTTTTTCTCCAGGAGTACTTACTGCTCGACAGAAAAATGACACATTGTCATGTATATTTCTTTTCTGTTTTGACAGATTTACAACACTAGATGTCTTGTACCAGTCTCTTCCAGCTATGACAAAGTCAGTCAATATGGGGTTTTTTTTATAAAATTCAAGTGGCAATTATTTACTCCTTAAAAAAGAGAACCATGAGAGTCTGAGCAAGGGAAGCAAAATGCTTACAACAATACTGCAATACTGTAGGGGAAACAATCTCCTCTGGTGTGTGCAGTAGCAGGAGGTGAGGCTGCTGTGCCAGCCTCCCACTCACTTTGTCTCCCATCTGCATGGCAGTCTCAGGGTCTGAAATGTAATCCTTTGTTTGCTTCTGGTCCCTGAGGGATGAAACCCCGAGATAAGGACGCTTCGCATAAATCATCTCAGAATTTCTCTCCGTCTCTGGTTTGCACCCAGATGATGTATTTTAGAATTTGTGAACCATCTCTACTGCCTGACCTGCAGTTAAACAGTTGCTTGGTCCTCTAAAGCACTGCTCAGCTCCCTGTCCCACCAGCTGCTCACAAGCTGCCACTCAGCTCTGAGCGCTGCTCCTTTCAAGAGTACAGGGAAATGCAAAATCCTACAGCTCCTCAGAGTGGGACCTGACCCTCAGATCCTCACTCGGCCAAACTGCCCAGAGTTTTGGTGGGACCCCGCCCGTACGAGGAGTCAGAGGGTTTGACTCACCGTGGTCATGCTGCTGCTTGTTCCTCCTCCCACACAAACCAACTGTTTTCAGTCCCAGAATTTTAGCCTGGATTGTAAATAAACAGTCACTCGGGAAGAAGTGCATTTACCTCCCACCTGATAGAAGCCCTGGGAGTTCTTAATTTCTCTGTTAGCTAATCTGTTTCTAAGGGGAAGAGGGAATAAAAGGGAAAGGGGGGGTTAGAAACCATTTATTTCTCTACTCAGTTTGCCAAAGGCTATGACTGTGGATTGTTTTTCTTCCAACAGCTTGAAAATATTTCCTATAAGCTGCAAATCAGGCTTAATTAAATCTTTTCCTGTGACCTTTTTCCTGTGTTTTTTTTCTTCTCCCCTGCAAAATGGTGAGCAAACCTAGATACCAAATGACAGCTCAAGTCCTCAAACCACAGATGGCTCTCCCAGAGCCCTTCCCGCAGGCTAGCCTTTCCAGGTTGGCTGTAGGATGGATAACCAACATCACTTTTGGATGAAAATCATAGCGTTGTTTTCTCATGTAGTATTTCTGGGAGGACATGAAAAACTGGTGGGGGGAGGCTTACTAATGAGGCAAAGCAATTAGTATTTTTGTAGGCTTGTTTGTTATACTGCCTGTGTCTTCGTAATGTAAATGCAAATAAACCATCTTTATTTTATTCATAGTTCTAATGGAAAGTCTGTGTCATGGTCTGAACCAGGTGGAAGACAAGATCCAAAGGGGGAACATACCTGGCACAGACTCTCAGTGCATGTGAAGAACCAGGAGACAGGGTGCAATCAGACAGCGGTGATCAAACCCCTCACTAAAGACTGCCACGGCCAAAGTCTGACTTTTACCGACATCAGCACTAAGACTCTGTACAATGTGGTGGAGGAAGAAGACAGAGAGCCCGTTCACCTCAACCAGTCCAACAGCCCTTCCATGGTGGTGCACAGGCGGGTGGCAACAACCCCCCCGCTGCAGGCCACGGCGGAGGAAACGCAACTCTTCTTGCCTGAGCAGTCCCCCAAGACCCTGCCCCTGCAGCCACAGTCTCTCATGGACCAGCTGCAAGGAGTGGTCAACAAGTTTGCCACCGGCATCCCCGACTTCAACGCCGTCCTCCCCACTCCCGGCTCAGGGAACGGCGTGCGGCCGCCCTGCCCACCCCCGCCACCGCAGCAGCCCCTGCAGCCCTTCCAGGTGGCTGCCTTCAGCCAGGAGCCCCTGTCTCCCCCGGCTGAGGAAGCCGAGAGTGAGAAGGTGAAGCTCATTCAGGGATATGTGTATGAGAAGAGCACAGAGGAGGAGGAGGACGAGGAGCCGGCAACCAGCAAACTGACTCTCGAAGACTCTCCGGCGCTGACGCCCCCGTCCCCTTTCCGGGATTCAGTGGCTTCGGGCAGCTCCGTGCCCAGCTCCCCCGTGTCGGAGTCGGTGCTCTGCACACCCCCAGATGTGACCTACGCCACTGTCATCCTGAGGGATTATAAGCAAAGCTCGTCCACCCTGTAGATGCTGCAAGAGACAAGGCAGGAAGGACTTTGGCAGCTGCCCACTGGGAGGACGTGCGGAGACAAGCCTCCCAGGGCTGCGGGAGAGAAAGCAGAGAACAAAGTGACAAATGACAGGGCAAAAATTTCATCCTGCACTTAAATAACTAAAATGAAACAAAAAGAAAATAAAAAATCCATTCTGAGGGCTCAAGATTCTCTATCTGTTGAAAATAAATGTACTTTGGGAAAATGTTAGGAAACCACAACAAAGCACAAACTAAAGGAACAACTTCTATAGAAAAAAAAAAAAAAATAAACACGCAGGAAAAAAAATATAATCACACTCAGTCACACCCGTTCTTGGCAATGCTTGCAAAGGACTCTGGGGAGTGCGACCTGGAGAAGTCATTAGCACACCTCATGACTGCTGTCTGTCTGCCATGGGAGTAACACACCCAGGAGCCAGAAGGGCAGAGTGTGGTGCGGGGGAACAAAGCTACTTGTATATGAGACATATATGCATAAATACCTTTTTCCTGGTTTCTACAGGTGGTATAACTGTGGATCTTTATTTTGGGTAGAGGAGATGAGATAATGTGAAAGCACATGGCTCTTACTGACTCCTACCTGAATGATTTCATTCTTCATACTAGGCTGCTTTTTGGGGGATTTGGGCTTCTTTTAATGCTGATTGTGAACAGAGCAAGAAATATGATCAAGTTAAGACTCAAGAGGTTTCTGAAGAAAGCCTTGCCATAGTACTTGTACCATGATAAGGACTTAGAAAAACTGCCCTTTTGTAAAAGGTTGCAAACCACATGGCTAAACTGTTACACAACATTTCCTGTAGCAGAACAATATTTATTGACTATCTTTTCATAAAACAATGTATTTTGCCATGCCATTGCATCATTCCATTGTGTTACTTTGGAAACAAATGCATTGAGAAATAACTGTTTACTTAGAGTAACAACTGTTCGTCTGGAGGAAGGGCAATTCCACGCTGGGGGTTTCGGAGCCTCCAGGCAGGAGAGCGAGCGTACGTTTGTGTATCTGTATGCGTGGGTATGGTGTGTGTGAAGAGTAATGTCCAATAACTACCACTGGAAGATTGTCTTATATACTATGAATATTTTTATGTTTAAATCATGTTTTTATATCGCGTTGGTACAAATATTCGATAGATCTTTGAAGGTTTGTATGCTGTGCTAACACATCCTTTTTTTCACATACAAGCTGAGACAGTCGTTACCCTTATAATAGGGTGCTTTGTTTTGCAGATATTTTATGAAGTAGATATATGATATTAATAACCAGTGCATTGAGAACTTGTTATTTTACATGTTTTGCAGCAAGTGTGGCTAACCAAAAAAAAAAAAACCAACAAAAAGAAATCTGTTTTAGAACTCTTGCAGGTGAGAGACAGGAAAAGTAAACCAACTATTTCACTGCTTCAGATAATTTAAAATGAAATCATGTCAGGACAGGAAATTTCATCAGTGCTTAATGTCTGCATAGATTCCCAGGTTTTGCTACTGATAATTCTTTTAAACCCTTTGAGGTTTACTTGCCTGTTCTTTTCTTATGCATTCACTTCTTGTGTTTAATATACAATATAGCTTAAAGGTCACTTCCAGGCATTTGTAGTTCTGTCATTTATTCCTCTTCCTCCTCTATCTTTCATGTGTTTCCTAGAGATGGGCCTAATCTAAAGCTCCCTAATGACTGGCGTGATAAAAGTCCAGGTCTAGTTGCTGTGGTCTGAACTTAATTATCATGATGATTACCTATTTATAAATGTGCTTATTATACATACACAGATCAGGATTTTAGCTGCTATGATCTTTGCTAGTGCTGCTGAATTCAGCTGAGGACGACAATCTGTCCCACAGTTCCACGCTTTATTTCAAAAAATATTTTAAAGGAATGTCTTCCTGTTAATATAGTTGCAAACCTTGATTTTAACCATGCTTCTTTTGAATATTCTACCAGAGCTTTTCTGAATTAATCATAATTCGAGTATTTTTGTTTCTTTTCACTTGAATTTTAAAAAGTCCCTCTTGTTATCAATTCATCTCTGAAGATCCAAATCTCATAGTTTTTCCCTAATTATGCAGTATTGGTTTTCGAATGTTTGGCTCACATTCAAAACCAGAGACAGTCTTTTTTTCTCATCCTCTTTTCACAATATTTGCTCCTTTCAATATTACTTGTGGCCAATTGCTATCATCGTCCTGATGTAGAAAGCATGAAATGACTTTGCCCAAAGACAAGTTTTTGTCAGTATATTGATGTCTCTATAATGAATTGAAGACAGCTGAGGGTTAGTTGGTTGATTTTTTGTTCTGCTTGGGGCTTTTAGGGGGATATTTTCTGTTGCTGTTTCTTTTATTTAAAATGCTGATTACTCCTTAAAGCAGTGAGAAAAATGCCGTCTTTGTTGATCACTGCACTGGCAATGAATTCTATCTGCTAACAGTTGTAGTATAAGATCTGCTGTGCTGTTTCCAAAAACACACATTGTCAGTAGCACAGATACTACGAAGCCAGTCTTTGAAGATCTGAGAGAGATAAGAAAAAGAAATACAGCAGATTTGTACAGACAAGGAGATGGCAATGTGGCAAGGTACTATACTGTTTTCATATCTGTCTGCTTTGAACATATTAAGCACTGATTTTATTACTGCAATGTAATTATATCATGAGTAAGAGTTTTCTTGAAATTCAGTATATTAGCTTTTAGTTTGCAATTGTTAAAACTGGAAACATACACATACATAAATATATCTAAAGAGCAAGAACTCACCTTGTGTATGCAGCTGTATGAGCTACAAAGCTTTCTGTGGAAGTTCTTTCTTTTGGTCTGTCAAATGCTTGATGAAAACTGCCTTTTTGTCAAAATGATCTTGAAAATGCTGTAAAATAAATATTTTCTATTTATTATTTAAAAATAGAATGCCACAATTTTTGATTTTTTGTTTCTTGAGTAGGAAATAGTGATGTATAGTAGTTCATTGTTCCAGGGCTTTTCAGCATCATGAATAAGAGACAGTGGGATATTTAAATAGAGGTAGGTATTGATTAAATTGTGTCATGAAGGTGAGATGGTGGAGGGTTGGAGGACTTTTGCTTAGGTAATAATCCTCAGTGTTTTGGCTTCCTAATAAAATTCAGAAGCATGGTAACTATGCATTCAGGCAGACAAGTAGTAGAAGAGAATTCAATAGGAAATGACAGAAAATTTTGCTTCCCAAGGACATGGGAAAACACCAGCCCTTCTCTGAAAATTGTCTTTGAGATGTCTGCTTCTCCCATCAGGGAAATTGCAATATGCTTTCTTGACAGCTATAAATGATAGGCATTGATCCACCTGGCATTTTGTGTCCTACCTTTACTGCTTCTGGACAAAGTATTGGGACTCCTGACTCCTGCTCTGCAACTCATAGACACTGTGACTTTTTGGTGTCTTCTGAACTGTGCCTCTGTGCTCTGTGCCTATGCTCTGTGCCTCAGCAAGATGCTTTTTTGGAGTGCTGCTGGGTTTTTCAGAAACGAGTGTCACTAAACATAGAAAACCTAGATCTTTGATCTTTTCACTTGTGAATAGGCTTGTGGCTCCTTTGTTTGGATCTGGCCTTGCAAGAGCCCATCTCTGAGGAGTCAGTCCACCTACAACTACTGCAATGCAGGAGTACAGACAGTGACATTTCATTCTGTGGTAAGTGCCAAAAGTTTGGTCTCTTTGTTCATAGAGGTTTTCTCTTTTTTTATCCCTTTTTCTTTTTGTTTTCAAAATCTTTTCTGTCTATGCCTTAGTAAGAGTTCTGCTGACCAAGTGTATTCAGTTACAAAATCATCCTCAGAGAAACACAGCACTTACTCACCTCCAGAGCACCCAGTGCAATTCTGCACAAGCTGCTGAAAAAACATTTAGAGCAATTTTTTCACTGGTTAAATGGATGGCTGGACCAGAACCACAGAGCAGCAAAGCACACTTGAGATTTACTCTCCATCCTTCTGTCAAGGACAGAGTGTTGGCAGCTCCACCAGCCCAGCCCATGCCCCTCCACCCAACCTCTGCTCAATAACTTGGGTCTCCAGATGGTGTCAGGTACACTTTGCACAGAGTAAGTGGCTACCAAAGGAAAAAGGCAGTGGAAATTTGGCCCCTGGGCTTGTATTCATCACTCTTTAGGCAAAAACGGGAATAGGTTGCTAATATCTATTCTACACAAGGTCTGAGTGACTGTTAAAAATGCTTCTTATATGGGAGTGGGAAAAGTGTGGGTTTGCAGATTGCATTGTTGTGGTCGTCTTTTTTTCCCAAATAAATGAGTCACTAGACACTTGGCAAGTATCTGTCTGCAGATCATTGGGAGGGAGAAGCAGACACTGTAGCCTATTTTTGTCTGTGTAAGATTCCCAACAGGGATATTAGCAAAGAAGAAGATCAGGAATGACACACTGCCAAGTGCGTGGTACTATCACAGGCCCCATATCTGGACCTGGACTCAAATTTTGGCAAACCCTGCAAGTTCCCAAGCAGAGATGGTAGAAGAGAGCAGGAGTGACTGGTTGCCATTTCCAGTACTACAGGTAAATTGTATCCTACTAAAAAAACAAGCAAACTATTCTTTGCCTTTAATTCAACTTCAAGATCTCAGTAAATCACACAAAACAGGACTGCTCCCCCAAGTGAGCAGGTCACTCTTTGGCACCAAGCAAGAGCATTTGTTTTCTACTTGGTTCCACTGTGGGCGTAAGCAATGTATCTCTACAGAAGTAAAATAACGTTGTGAGTTGTGGGTTTCCATAACCAAAAGGCCTCTAGGTAGGTGGAGAAGCAGCTGGCACAGATACCAGTGCAGACAGATAAGAGTTTAGGAGTGGTATGTATCTATGACATTTAATCCACCCACTTTATTTATTGCACGCCGTGCAATGTGTAGGTGGCATGAGATCCATTCCCCCACCTACGCCACGGTATGGTGTGTGGGACTCCTACCTCCCTGTGCTGCTCTGAGGCTGAACCAGGAACAGATCTGCAAGACCTCCCTCCAGGAAAAATTGTGTGCCTGGAGGACTGGCTGAGGGCAGGCCAGTCTCTGGTCAGGTCTCTGCTTTCCCAACACAGGGTATCTTTGCAATGCACCAAGAGTGTATTTTCCTTGCAAATGTCACCTAGAGACAGGGAATTTCAGTGCCTTGGAATGTCTTGAAATAAGTCAATAGTTTAAAAGGAGCTGTTTCCTCGGCTGCCCTCCAGCAGCCCATGGTGAGGTGTCCCCCACAGCTGAACAGACTGTC